TGGTCTGTGGAGATGTGGTCCTGTGGGGATGTGGTCTGTGGGGATGTGGAAGGAGGTGAGTGGGGCGGGCTGGAAGGGGCTGGGGTGAGTGGCCCAGTTGCACACAGTGACCTTGAGTGACAGGTCCCACCTGCTCAGGTCATGAGGCACAGTCCTGGAGAGGCCACCCTGGCCAGCAGTGGAACCCACTTATGTGCCGGGGCAGCTTTGGTGGCTGTGTGTGCTCACGTGGGGGGCCTCGTCTGCAGAGGGGCTGCCCCCAAGGGCCAGGAGGGAGCAAGGCAGGTGGGCAGAAGGAGGCTCCCCGTGCCTGCCACACCCGTCCTTAGCTGGGGGAGCCTGTGAGGCCACTGACCTCCTCTCCAGTTTCCTGCTGGAGATGTTTGCGGCCTTGTCCCCACATCCCTAGGTCTCCTCAGAGTCCCCATCCTGGGCTCAGCTGCCTCCAGGGACAGGGCACTCGCCCCCTCCAGAGGTCGCCCATCCACCATGTCTCGCCTTGGCCCTGTCCTTGTGCCAGTGGCTGTGGATGAGGAAACCCAGGGCCAGAGACGGACACCAAGGGGTCACTGGCCCCCTTCCTCTCTCTGTGCCCTAGGACGAGAAGAACCAAATGATGACCACGAACGTATGGGTGAAGCAGGTGAGTGGGAGGACACTGCCCTGCCCTGCCCTGGCCCTGCCCCTGCCCCAGCTCTGCCCTCCCCCACACCCCTCACCCTGCTGCCCTGCCCTGGCCCTGCCCCAGCCCTGCCCTCCCCCACACCCCTCACCCTGCGGCCTCCCCCGCCCCACCCCGTCCAGGAGTGGCATGACTACAAGCTGCGCTGGGACCCAGCTGACTACGAGAACGTCACCTCCATCCGCATCCCCTCCGAGCTCATCTGGCGGCCGGACATCGTCCTCTACAACAAGTGAGTCCCCTGGGGAGCTCTGCCAAGGCCCAGCCTGGCCCAGCAGGGCCTATGCCAGCCCCATCCATGCCAGCCCAGGTCCAGGAAGGAAGAAGCAGGAGCAATGGAGAAACTGGTGGGGGTTGAGGAGGGAAGGGTCCCTCCAGGCCAGCAAAGAGGCTGAGGGCATCCCTGGGTGTCAGCACTGGAGCTTCAGAGCCAGAGGCGCCTGAGAGTGGCTGTGGCACCTGGGCACAACATCCCTGCCTGGACCAGTCCTGAGGCCTGGGGGCTGGCTCCTGACCCCGGACGTCTTTGCCCCACCCTTGATGACTGCAGGAGAGCCCTTTTGGGCTGGAGTGCTTTTCACGGTCAGACCCCACCCTGGGATTTCTGGGAGAATAGTGTGGGCCGCAGGGTGCCGTGGAGAGGGGTGAGGAAGCCCCAGACGGCTCCCATACCAGCAAGGCCGCTGCTTGCTCTGCACACTCAGGCCCTGCCCAGGACAAACATCACACCAGGTCCCCAGCAAACAAAGCCTCAGGCTGGGCCAAGCCCGTGTCAGGCTTCTGGGAGGCCAAGATGAAGTCCGGTCATGGAAACGGGTTTCCTGTGCCTGGAAGCCAGGGCAGCGTTGCCAGGGATTGGCCGTGGCAGACGGTGGCCTCCAGAGGCTGCTGTCCTCCAACTTGTCCTTCCCACAGATCTGTGCCGAGGGCCCTGCGCCCGGCAGCCAGCACTCTCTGAGCTGAGTCCTCCAGGGACTATCTCTCGCGACAGGCTCAGGGCCTGGGCGCGGCAGGGTCGAAGCTCCCACAAACAAAGCAAATGGAAGCTCTTCCTCCTCTCCTGTGCCGGCCATCTGCCCACAGCCCCTTCCAGGCCCCAGGGCGCCTGCCTGACCTACAAACGCTGCTGCATGATTAAGAACCATCGGGCTCCTCTTCCAACTCAATTGATTCCAGTAATGGCAGTGGGAAGGGGGGTGAAAGGGGGCCGGAAGCTCTTCCAGGGTGCATTAGGGGAGGTGGTCAGTGGTGAGTGGGTGGTGAGTGGTCTTCCCTTAGTACAGGCTCCCTGCCCCCTGCAAGCTGCCCAGCCACCTAGCTCCCCGCCACCAGGACCGTGCACCGAATCCGCCTGTGTGACTCAGAGGGACATATTTCAGGGAGAAGTGGAAATGCCCAGGATGGGCCGGGCAGAGAAGCAGCTCTGGGTGCCTGTACACAGCCCTCCAGGAATGCAGCCCCCAGGAACAAAGCTTCTGAGGACCATAGCCCCCACTGTGACCTCAAACCTCCAGGACCACAGCCCCTGAGTACTGCAGCTTCCACACCCTTACCAGGACCATAGCCTTCCAAAGACTGCAGCCTCCACCAGGTTCACAGCTCCCCCAGGACCACATTCCCTGCCAGGACCCCAGTCCCCCCAGGACCACATCCCTGCCTAGGGCTACAGCGCCTCCCGCAGAACCGCAGTGCCCGCAAGGATCACAGTTCTCGCCTGACCACAGCCCCCTAGGACCGCAGCCCCCCAGGACCGCAGCCCCCGTAGGACCGCAGCCCCGCCTAGGACCACAGCTCAGGAGAGGGGGGTGTGCTGCCACCCCATGTCCTCCTGGGTCTCCTCCTCACCACAGCCTGTGGGAGGTAGTGGGGTAACCTGTGGGATACAGTCGGGTGACCCCAGTTTTCTCTTCAGGGCTGGGGTTGTCACCGAGGCTCTCTCTGGACAGGACCTGGGGTTCCTGGAGTCGGTGCTTGTGTTGGGGTCTACTCCCACTGAGGCCTGTTTCTGGGGCAGCAGGTGACCGTGGCTGGTGGCCGGCCAGGCCGCAGGGTGGGAGGCCTCAGCCCTTCTCTGGGCTTTGGCCACCCCCAGTTGGGGGCCCTGCTGTCCACTTGGGGCTTCTCTAAGATTGGCCCTTTGGGGCAGGAGCCCAGAAATCCCTGACCTGGGGATCGGGGTGGAGGGGACAGAGGGTCTCATGCCACCCTGTGGGCCCTGGAGCAGGAACCTGGACCTGCCAGACTGGGCGGCTCCTCAGACCCTGCCTGCTCCTAGGGTGCAGCGTTCCAGAACCGGCTCACAGCTCGGTGGTTCAGCCCAAACAGGGTTCTCCTCAAAGGCTCCCCAGAGGGCGGCCGGAGCCAGGGGTGGGCAGGGCAGGGGAGGGAGCAGCAGTGACGCGGCCCAGGGATGCTGTGGGACCTGGGGGCTGGGGGACCTGGCCCTGACCTTGTCCCGTTTCCTGTGGCGCGGGTGGAGGCCCCTGGGAGGGGGGCCCTGCCCAGAGTGACCTGCACTGTTCCCAAGCACAGCCCTGAGCCCCTGCAGCATGCGCGCTGAATGGAGTAGTCACCCGTTTCCCGTATGAGAAGGTTTCCGTTTGTGCCTCAGAAGGTGGAGAGCGTTGGTTTTTGGAGAGATGGGCGGGGGGGAAGGAGCAAACTTGAGCCTGATTCCACCCAGACTGAAATCGGGGGCCAGGCTGTGCTGGGCCGGAGCTGTGTGGAGATGCAGCTGGTGGCTCTTCCCGGGTCTCCCTCCCTCTGTAGGGCAGCCGAGCGGCAGCCCAGCCGGCGGTGTTGGCTCAGGACCAGTTCAGCGGGGCAGAGCCTCAGCACCGACCGAGACCGTGGGGGGCCAGGGCGCCATGACCTGGAGGGCAGAGCTCCAGCAGGGGCAGCTCCACAAAGGGAGGGTCCCTGAGGGTTGGGAGGGAGGTTGAGGTGCAGGCCCGGCCCTGGGACTCCTGGGCAGGCACAGAGGAAGCTCAGGGAACAGTGGCCAGCTCTGCCCAAGTACCTGGGGAGGCTCTGGCCTTTGAGCAGGCTCTCAGGGAATGAGACAGAGGAGGGATGGGCAGGGGTCCAGGCAACTTGGCAGAGGTGGGCAGAAGGTGTGTGGCTGGGCAGCCGCTCCCCGGGACACGTCGTGCCCCACCGTCCTCCACAGAGCTGAGCCTGGCCCCACACCCACCGACGCTGTGGATTTAATGGGGCCTCAGGCGTCCCATCGGTGGGGACTTCTGTGGGTGGGGGGTGGGGGGTCAGCTGCTTCAGGCCGGAACGTGCTCCTGCAGTGTGTCCTACCCAGCCAGCCACTGTCCATGGAACTAGGGGCTGGGTCTGGGAGCTCTGCCTACCAGGAGGAGTTCAAGGGACATCAGCCCCTCGCTCCATTGCTCTGTTGCCCACCTGGGCCTGTGGACAGAAGACCCATGTCCTCAAGGCAAAAGAAAGTCCAGAGCCAGTGGCTCGGATGTGGCCCTGGAACTGGGCAGTGCATATGCAGCCTCACTGCATTGTCCCTGGGTGGCCAGAGCACCTGTCCTTGCCTCTGTGGCCCCTGGTGTCCTCATGCTCACACACCGGCAGGTGGCCTCCAAGTCCTTGGGGTTAACGGCAGAAGCTGGGTGAGGAATTCCTGTGGTGGCCCGGGGTGCTGCTTGGAGGGGCAGGGACGTGGGGACGTTGTGTGTCCCAGGAGGTGTCGCTGGAAGACTAGCCCCATCCCTGTGCCACTCACGGGTAAGAAGAATCAGCAGCAGCAGTGACTATGTGTGTCAGACACCTGTAGGTCCCTTCCTGTTCTCTGAACCACGTGCTACCCCAGCTCAGGGATGATAAACTGAGGTGCGCGAGTAAGTGAAGAGATGAGCAGTGTACCTGGGCAAGGCTGCCAGCCTTTCTATGCTCCTGTGATGTGAGAATGCCTCTGTGTGTGGGCGTGGGCATGGATGTGGATGTGGACGAGGATGTGGATGTGGGCGTGGACGTGGGCGTGGACATGGATGTGGGCATGGGTGTGGATGTGGACGTGGGCATGGACATGGGGGTCTCACTCCCTTCGATCTTCCTGCCCAGTGCTGATGGGGACTTTGCAGTCACCCACCTGACCAAGGCCCACCTGTTCCATGACGGGCGGGTGCAGTGGACGCCCCCGGCCATCTACAAGAGCTCCTGCAGCATCGATGTCACCTTCTTCCCCTTCGACCAGCAGAACTGCACCATGAAATTTGGCTCCTGGACCTACGATAAGGCCAAGATCGACCTGGTGAATATGCACAGCCGCGTGGACCAGCTGGACTTCTGGGAGAGCGGTGAGTGGGTCATCGTGGACGCCGTGGGCACCTACAACACCAGGAAGTACGAGTGCTGTGCTGAGATCTACCCAGACATCACCTACGCCTTCGTCATCCGGCGGCTGCCACTCTTCTACACCATCAACCTCATCATTCCCTGCCTGCTCATCTCCTGCCTCACCGTGCTGGTCTTCTACCTGCCCTCCGAGTGCGGCGAGAAGATCACGCTGTGCATCTCCGTGCTGCTGTCGCTCACCGTCTTCCTGCTGCTCATCACCGAGATCATCCCGTCCACCTCACTGGTCATCCCGCTCATCGGCGAGTACCTGCTGTTCACCATGATCTTCGTCACCCTGTCCATCGTCATCACGGTCTTCGTGCTCAACGTACACCACCGCTCGCCGCGCACACACACCATGCCCGCCTGGGTACGCAGGGTCTTCCTGGACATTGTGCCGCGCCTGCTCCTCATGAAGCGGCCGTCCGTGGTCAAGGACAATTGCCGGCGACTCATTGAGTCCATGCACAAGATGGCCAGTGCCCCGCACTTCTGGCCTGAGCCGGAGGGGGAGCCCGCCGCCACAAGCGGCACCCAGAGCCGGCACCCGCCCTCGCCATCCTGTGTCCCCCTGGATGTGCCGGCTGAGTCTGGGCCTGCCTGCAAGTCGCCCTCCGACCAGCTCCCCGCTCTGCAGCCCCCGGAAGCTGAGAAAGCCAGTCCCCACCCCTCGCCTGGACCCTACCACCCACCCCACAGCACCCAGGCACCGGGGCTGGCCAAAGCCAGGTCCCTCAGCGTCCAGCACATGTCCAGCCCTGGAGAAGCGGTGGAAGGTGGTGTCCGGTGCCGGTCTCGGAGCATCCAGTACTGTGTTCCCCGAGACAATGCTGCCCCCGAGGCGGACGGCCAGGCTGCCGGCGCCCTGGCCTCTCGCAAGACCCACTCAGCTGAGCTCCCGCCCCCAGACCAGCCCTCTCCGCGCAAATGCACCTGCGGGAAGGAGCCCCCTTCCGTGTCCCCGAGCGCCACGCTCAAGGCCCGCAGCACCAAAGCACCTCCCCGGCACCTGCCCCTGTCGCCGGCCCTGACCCGGGCGGTGGAGGGTGTCCAGTACATCGCGGACCACCTGAAGGCCGAAGACGCAGACTTCTCGGTAAGTCCCGCCCATGGCTGTGCTGGGCGCCTCTGGCCCAGATGGAGTCGGTGGACACCCTCCGTTCCTGGTGCGTCATCCAGGAGCTGGGCCCAGGCCTCAGGCTGCTTTGCTTTGGGGTACAGGGCGTGGCCCCTGCTGCAGCAGCCTTGCCCTGAGCTGCTACGTGGCTGCAGGTCCCAGGCTGAGTGGGGCAGGTGGCCCCGAGGGGCTGACACAGGGTGGATCCTGGTGCCGCCTCCGGCTCTGGGACACACTGGGCCTCGCAGATGGCAGGGTGAGGGGCCACAGGCGGCGTCCTTCCAGCACAGCACGGGGGCGCTCTGGGAACTCCAGCCCAGCGATGCCCAAGTCTCCAGAACGCAACAAGGCACTGCCAAGTCCCTTTCCCCAGGGCGTGCCTGTGCCTGCCCCGTGGGCCTCCCTAGGGCCCCTCCGTACCTGGGGCCTGGAGGTAGGGGGCTTGGAGAAGATGGGATGGGATGGGCTGGTGGCAGGAGAGAAGGATCTGGGACAGGAACACAGCCCCAAGACCGTCAGCCCCACGCGGCCACGCTGGGGACAGGGGTGGGAGAGCCATGGGCTGGGGGCAGAAAACACAGGCCGTACTGCTAAGGCCCCCCGGGGCCCTGGGCCAGCCCACCTGCCCTCACCCTCACGCACCAGGCACCGGCCGCACAGCGGCCTCCAGAGCCGTGGTTTCTGCTAAGTGGCAGCCATGTCCGTGTTACCCGCGGCTCTGTGGTCTCCTACCCGTTCCCTGCAGGAGAGGCCCCGGGGCAGAGCCAGCTTTGCCTGACCCTAGCACCAGGTAGCCTCCCTGTTTCCTTCTGCAAACATTTGCTGTCTGTCGCAGGTGGGGAGGCGCAGGGGCCAGGGTCCACAGACAGGACAATGGGGCCGGATGAGTGGGGCACGCAGGCGGCCGAGGGTCTCAGCCTCAGCCGTGCAGCCCGTGACGTCCACAGCGACAACTTGGCATCTGTCCTGCCATCCGCCTGCTGTCGCCGGCACCTCCCGGCTCTCGTCCCAGTGCCAGGGCCTGGTGCCCTCAGTGGGCCGCCTCCCTCTGAAGGGGCCGCCTCTGCCAGGATCCCAGAGCGCCATCCTCGATGGTTTATTAGGACGCATCTGGTGCCTGCCCCCACTAACTGAGTGAGCCCCAAAGCAAGGGGCACATGCTCCACACCCCTGAGAAGTGAGGGAGTCGCTTGCCCCACACAGCCACCCCCACTGAATCCCAAGAAGCTGCAAAGCCACCTGCACGTTCCAGAATGTTCTGGGGTCACGAGAGCAGCCTGGAGAAGTGTCAGGACCCTGCTTTGCTGCCAGCTCTTGAAGCCAGAGGCAGCTGTGCCCAGGCCGTGCCACTGTGGGGTCTGATGCTTTTAGGTGTTTGATCAAAACGGCCCTGAAGCCGGCAGTAGGTCTGAGCTCGGCGGCCAGCGCAGCCTGGGCCCCCTCCAGCAGCCTTGCGGGCCGATCGCTGCCGCTGCCTGACCTGGTTCTGGGCTTGTGGGGAGCAGAGCTGACTTCACAGGAGGCGCCTTGGGGACAGAGGGAAGGCTTTGGTCTGTCGCCGCGTTTCATCTTCAGGGCGGATGGAACGCGGCACACAGAACCCAGGGAACTAAAGGCACATGGGAAAGGGCGAGAGGGTGGCCGCGTCCCTCCCCCAGAGCCGAGGCCTGAGCAGGACTTTATTTATAAGTGACCCCGTTTGCCTTCAGGCTTCCCGTAAATAAATACGGCCATTTTGGTTCCGTTTAACACGATCAGGACACCCGGGATTGCTGCAAAAAATCAGAGCAGGAGGTAGCACTGTCCCCTCCCATCCCTCATCATCCACAGGCCCGGGACCCAGGACACCCTCATGGCCTGGCCCAGAGGCAGCTCGTCAGCTTGGGGTCGTCTCAGGTCCTTCTATACAGTAGACCCAGAGACACGGGACGGGGGAGCCACAGACGCGGGACGGGGAAGCCAGAGACACACAGGACAGTGGAGCCAGAGACACAGGATGGGGGAGCTGGGGACACAGGACGGGGGAGCCGGGGACGCAGGATGGGAGAGCCAGAGACGCGGGTTGGGGGAGCCAGAGATGTGGGACAGGGGAGCCGGGGCCAGGGAAGTGGCCAGCTGCATGAGTACCTTTAGCTGCACACAGCAGCTGTCTTGAGAATGGCTTCCCGACTCCAGGCCTGACCGGGCCACTGCCTCTGCCGTCCCTAGGCCTCTGCTCCTAGGGGTCACCCAGGGTGGGGTCCGCCCTGCATCAGCCCCAGGAGTGTGGGGTTATATGCCGGACCGGGAGCCAGCACCCACTGTCCCTGTTTAGATGTGTAACCGCAGCCACCCCCGATAGCTGTGCACCTCAGTGTGAAAATGGGACGGGCCAGGGGAAGCTCGAGTGAGAGATCGCAGACGGCGGTGGCTGTGCGGGTTCCGTGTGTGCTGCTCTCGTCCGCCCTCTGGCCCCGGGTCCTCCCTGTGGAGCATCAGCTGGCAATGCTGCCCACGACCAGTGTGTGGGGTTAGGCCCCGTTATCCCAAACCCAGCAGGCTCCCTGTCTCACCCTGCTCAGTGAGACTGTGCCCCCACCGGGCCTCGTTTTCCCATCTGCAAAACGGGGAGGGGGATGGGCCTCCATGGTGCGCCTCCCAGCGCTGGTGAACTGAGAGCAGACCCCCCACGGGGCGCCTGAACCCCCCTCCCCCCGTGCCCCCTTCCTGAAACGCAGACTACCTGCTGAGAGGTGGGGGCGCTCAGGGCACAGTGCAGAGCCTGTCTCCACACAGGGGTCTGCCCAGCCGGAATTCCCAGGGTTCCCAGGTCCTCCTGCCCTGCACTGTAGTGATGCCGCCCCCTGCAGAGCACTGGCTCTCCCGTGCACCCCGATTCCTCCCCTTGGTGCAGGTGTGTGCGGGATGCACCGGCAGCCGTGGCTGCCTCGGGTGGAAGGTGGGAGGTGGGAGGTGGAGAAGCTGCCGCCGGCGGTGCCAGGGTCCTGAGGGCTCTCCCGTGGGCGGCCGGGCCTGTTGGAGTGATGGCGTCTGTGCTTGCAGGTGAAGGAGGACTGGAAGTACGTGGCCATGGTCATCGACCGCATCTTCCTCTGGATGTTCATCATCGTTTGCCTGCTGGGGACCGTGGGCCTCTTCCTGCCGCCCTGGCTGGCTGGCATGATCTAGGAAGGGACCAGGAGCCTGCGTGGCCTGCGGCTGCAGCACACGGGGTCGGCGTCCATGCGGCCGGCCTGGGGCCGGGCTGGCTCCTCCCTGGACTCTGCAGGGCCACACGTTTGCCACATTATCCTTCCTGTTCTGTGTCTGCTGTAAGACGGCCTCGGACAGGGACACAGCCTCTGGGGAGACGGAGTGCGGAGCTGCTTCCAGCTGGGCTGAGGCCCCAGGAGGCAGCGGCTTGGAGCAGCGCCTTCTACCTGCGGGACTCGGGTTAGGTCCAGTGCAAGTCTCCTGAGCTCCCCTGCAGGTGGGACTCCCTCCTCCCGGTCCCTCAGCAGACCCGGCGACGGTCCCGACTGCCCCGAGGGGCCCTTGAAGGGACTTCATGCTCCTTCTGCCCCAAGTGTCCCGTCTTCTGGAGGCCTGACCACCTCTCCCACCCACCGTGTCCTGCACCTGTGTGGGCCTCAGCTTCTCCCCCACGGTCTTCGGGCCTCGCTGGCCCCATAAGCGTGAGCCAGCGGCGCTCCAATCTCCTTCACTAGGAGTGGGTCCGGGCAGGGATTGTGTTCGGCTGTGTTTTGGGTAAGTTAGAACTCAAGTCTTGTGCCCAAGGACCCTTGGAGAACAGAGCTTTGTGGAGCTGGTCCCGCGTGGGGAGAATCGGGTGGCAGGCCCTCCACGGGGGACAGGAGCACCCAGCCCCAGAGAGTCCTGAGACCAGGGCTCTGCCTTCCCGGTGTGGGGCCAGGGCTCTGTGGCAGGTGGCCAGGGCTCCACGGGGGCCTAGTGGCTCTGGCCCCGGGATTACTTCTGTGTTGTGATTTCCCAGGGCTGGGAGGGTCCCGAATGGAGCCCAGACCCGGGCCCTGGTTCCCCCAGGACCCTGAGGGTTTCTACCTTGGTGCACAGCCCGGGAGATCCGCCCAGGGCTCTGGGTTTGGGAAGAAGGATTTCCCGTCACAGTAGCCTTGGGGAGCTGGTGGGGGCATCCCTGAGAACCTCCACCCGGGAGATGCTGGGACCCTCGGGGCAGGAAGCTCCTGAGAAACCTCGTGGGGGTCAGGGAGCCCTGGGGTTTCCACACAGGCCTGTGCCCTCCATCCTGGCAGGGCAAGCAGGGCTAAGCAGGGCTAAGCAGGGCCTCACCCCTGCAGGTGGTACCCAGAGGTGGGGGAGGCCTGAAGTGTCTCCAGGCATGACCCTGGAGCCCGGCAGTGCACCCCCTGAAGACGGCGCACCTGGCAGGCCCCCAGCGTCCCCAGGGGCACACTTCCCCCGGGGGGTGGGCACAGGCTGCCCCACCCCTCCATGATTCTAAGGGCTCAGAGGGGCGGGGCCAGGGCGGCGTGTCCCTTGCCTGCGAGTGACGTTGGTTCAGGAAGGCAGTCAGGAAACCTCCCACTGAGTGGTCCACATTCTGCCACCCCTAGACCCCATCCAGCCCGGGGCGGGGCTGGGGTCGGGCCCTGTGTCCCACTGTGTCTCATCCGTCTGTCCCTGAGCCAAGCTCTCCTGGGCCAGGGTCTCCTCAGAAGGTGTCTGAGAGCAGAATGAATAATTGAAGTTTGGAACGCAGCACGCTGAGTGCCCAGGAAATGCCACTGTGTCCCCGCGGGCAGTGACATGAGTGGGGAGGAGACTCAGGCTCACATTGCCCACACCTGCCTCTGAACTGCTGCTGGTCACCCCCACCCCCAGGTGCCTGTGACTGGGGTCCTGAGGCTGGGGCTCTTGTGCCAGGAGTGGGTGGGACGCAGAGACCCTCGTGCCAAATCCTGGGCATTCCCAGCCCCCCGGCCCCTCCACATCCCCTGTGTATTCAGGACTCTATCTGCTGAACTCTGACCTGTCCCCGCTCCGCCATCAGCCCCTGCTGCCCCTCGGCCAGAGCTCCCAGGATGCAGAGAGACCCCAGACGGCCAGAGAACCCAGGATGCAGGGAGACCCTGGGCGAGTGAGGTCATCCTGGGGCCATGGAAGCTGGCAGGAGACACTGGTCTCAGAGGAGGGAGAGAGACGCAGATTTCAGATATAAGAAGCCGGATCCGCATTGCATAAGCAGATCCAGCTGCCAGATGTGTGGGCAGCTGCAGGGAGCGGCCCGGGGTGCTGGGCCCAGCTGTGGTTGTTCTTTTCTGGGTCGGGAGCGACTGCGGAGTGGCTGGGACGCTCCTGCTGGGGGACCCTCCTGCTGGGGGTGGCCGCTTGCCTGGGGGAAGACCCCTTTCCCTTTCTTCTTCTTCTTTATATATATATTTTTTGAGGCTCAAAAAAAAAAAATCCAAATAAAGCACCATATTCCCACCACGCCAAATTAACCTGGACAACAATGTTGGCGTATTTGCGTCCACTGTTGTTTTTATTAATTAAGGTAAAATTTACGTATGGTGAGATGCATGCTCTTCAGCGGGGACCCCAGCCCCTAGAAGGTCCCTCCAGCCCTTCCTGTTGGCGTCCCTTCCCCATTTGTGGCTCTGACTTAAGCACGGTGGATTGACCTCTCCGGCTCATGACCTTCAAGGAGTCAGAATGCTGCAGTTGGAGCCTTTGATGTCTGGCTTCTTGATCATATGACTTAGAGCTTCATCCGTGCTGTTGTGTGTGTCTGTAGCTCATTGCTACTTGTTCCTTCGTTTTTAATTGTGAGCAGTGTTCTTCTGTCCGAATAAACTAAGACATAGTTTGTCCATCACCTGTTAGTGGACTTTGTTTGCAGCTGTCGGTGGTTAGGAACGGAGGTGCCGGTGTGTGCACAGGGACACGGATGGTCTCGCGCTCTATCCATTGTGTATGTTGATTTTCTGTATCTGTTCATGTTTTAGCATCTTTCAGACCCAGGACTGCTCCTCCTAGGGCCACTTATTTCCCAGGGGTGGACAGCTTGCCTAGAGCCCGCCTTGCCAGGGCTGTGTCCCCCGACTCCCTATCAAAGTCTTACACTAAGCCAGTGTTTCCCCGCCCTGCGCGAGCCGGGCACCAGGCAGCGGGAGACACCGCTGCAGCTCAAAGCCTGTGGGGCGCCGGCCCCTCAGCAACTGCTCATGCCATCCTGCCTGGTCCTTCCCAGGGGAGGCCCCAACGAAGGCCCCGGCCAGGGCTTCCCAGCCCCTTCTGCCTCTGGACAGCCTGGGTGTTTCCCGTGTGGCCCGGCCTGGGGTGACGTGGCCCTCCTCTCAGGAAGCGTGGTACTCTCTCAATGGCATCGGCCTCCGGAGTTGTCACTCAGGTTCCCTTGTAAGTTATGGCTGGGCCCAGGACACTCCAGGGCACGCAGCTGCTGCGGGACTGCTGGGTTAGCAGGTGCCCCCCGGAGCAGAGGTGGCTTCGGGTTTCTAAAGTGGCTGGGTCCTTTCACTTTGCACTAGAAATGCTGGATCAGGCAGCACACATAGCACCTGGGGACGCAAGCCCAGCCAGCCCCACAGACCAAGTTCCGCCGACTGTGTGGCCCGCCGAGCCCAGGTGCGGCTCCCGGCTTCTGCAGGAAACGTCTGCCAAGCCCTGGAACGTGCTCTCAGCGTGTGCACAGACTTCAGTGAGTAAAATGCCCCTTCACCACGTGTGCTGTGCCCTGCATTTTCTATTCAAGTTTCTTCTATTTCAATCTGTAGGAAAGGCTGGGTGTGACCCACAGAATTGATTTCTTGACCCACGGTTGGAAGCTCGCTGCTGAGGACAGAATACCTGGCAGTGGAATTGTTAGGGGTTTGCACTGGGTTTTAGGAGATAACGCCAACGTGCTTTCCATGTGACTGTGCCGTTTACACTCCCCATCTGCAGACAGGCGCTCCCGTTGCGCTAATCCGAGCTGACATTTCCTGGCATTTGCCTGCCTCGCGGGGTAACGTACACGGCGTGCATATGAATCCTCGGAAGCATGACAAGGCATTTTCTTTCACAGACTGAATGTGTGCATAGAGCCAGCGCCCGGGAATCCCCTGCTCAGCCCTGCCAGCCACGACCCCCCCGAGGTCACCCAACACCTCTGCCTGGGTGCTGGCCCTGGGTTCTGTGCATGGCTGCGCCAGGTGTGCCCGTCTGTCGGCTCCCGATTCCGGGTCGTTACTCGCTGTGCTGCGGGCTCTGTCGTGTGGCACCACCTTATTTATCCATGGCCAGCTCGTGGCTGCTGTGAACAGACCTTGGCACCTATGTGTCTCCGTGGGAGGCAGACCCAGCAGCTCCGGCTCAGTGGCGGGAAGGAAGGGCGCGTGGTCAGCTCAAGGAGCTGCTGACGAAGGGTTTGCCAATGCGACTGCATTGACATCACCTCCTCTCAGGGTTCCGATTCTCTCCCCCGTACCAAGGGTTCTTAATTTTTACCAGTCCGGTGGGAATGCAGTTCTCTCTCTGTTTTAAATTACATTTCTCTAGTTACTAGAGTTGGGGCATCTTCTCACATGTTTGTCGACTGTTCAAGTTTCTTCTATGATGTGCCTATTATCTTTTGTCAGGGTTTTGAATCTCTATTTTTTATTTCTAATTTAATTCCTCTGGAGTCAGGGAAGTATTCCATTTCATCTCAGTGCTTTCAAATCTGTCACGCTTGTTATCGGGTCCAGCATATGGTCTGTCCACGTCAGGGTTCCACGCAGCCTTGAAAAGAACACATCTTCCGCTCTGCTTCAGGGAATGTTCTAGAAATGCCAGCCAGGTCCCGCCTGCTGAGGCGTCCTTCAAGCCTTCTACACCCAGGCCAGTGTTCTGTCTACATGGTGTAGGAGGCTTCAGAGGGGAGCTGAGGTCACCAAGGAGAATCGTGGCTTTACCCCTTCTCGCAGGCGTGCTGGCGTTTGCTTCGCGTATTTGGAAGCTCTGTTCTGTCGTGTTCAGGGCTACTGTGTTCTCATGGTGGGGGCACCTGCTCGCTATGGAACGGCCTCTCTATCCCTCGTACCATTCCACACTCTCAAGTCTCCTTTTCTCATCATCACATTGACACTCCAGCCGTCTTTCGAGAGTTGTTGGTAGATCCTTTTCTAGTCTCTCCTTTTAACCTTACTGTTCCATTTCATTACATATAAGGAGGGTTTCTTGCAGACAACAGGTAACTACCATCCTAGTCAGACACAGAACGCTTCTGTCACCCGGAAAGCTCCTTCGTGTCCCTGTGTAGCTAAAACCCTCTGCGCTCCAGGAAACCGCTGACATGATTCCCAGCTCTGTGGATCACTTCTGTTATGTTCTAGAACTTCATGTAGGTGGAACAGGTGCGTTTGTGGACAGCCTCTGTCACACAGCATGGTGTTCGGGGTTGTAGACGAACAGTCAAACTCTGTAAAATATTTGAAGAGACTTATTCTGAGCCAAATATGAGTGACCATGGCCCGTGACACAGCCCTTGGGAGGTCCTGAGGACACGTGCCCAGGGTGGTCGGGCACGGCTTGGTTTTATCCATTTTCGGGAGGCAGGAGACATCAATCAATACATTTAAGAAATACACTGGTTTGGTTCAGAAAGGTGGGATAATTCACAGCGAATTCAAACGTTTTCTGGCTGACGGTTGGCTGAGTTATCTGAAGACCTGGGATCAATGGGAAGGAATGTTCAGGTTGAGATAAAGGATTGTGGAGACCAAGTTTGACTGGTGCAGAGGAAGCTCTGAGACAGCAGACTTCAGAGAGCAGATTGTGACATGTTTCTCATTGGACCCAAAAGGGTGCCTGGC